CATCGCTGTTATTTGTTACTTCTTGTACTGTCGCATCGCTGTTATTTGTTACTTCTTGTACTGTCGCATCGCTGGTATTCGTTACTTCTTGCACTTTCTCACTATTGCATTCATCGTTTTCCATTGTTTGAATTGGTGAATGCTGGAGAACAGACAATATTTACGTAGAGAAATCTTTTTTATCATAATAGTTTTAATATGATAAGATTATACTTACTGGTTGCTCCACATTATTGGTGATCTCTGAGATAGATTCTACATTATTATCTTCGTCCAAGTCCATTGGTTCATCCTTGATCGTGAATATTGGAATAACCTGCGAATATTGGAAATATATGAGAATACGAGAACATAACAGTAAAAATGACAAACTATTGTGTCCTAGTACATTTAAAAATACATACCGGAGGATTTGATTGCAACTGACTTGTCAGCCATTCTTGCAGTTTGTCCTGGGAACGCAGGCACGACTCCTTGTAGGTGTGCCATTGATTAACGCTCTTCACGCAATTTGCGCATATCAATGTGGACAACCTGTCGGTTGCTGAAATCTAAAAAAATGAAGCACATTATATAATCTAGGTAAAAATCTCGACAAGAATTTTAAATCACAAGTCAAATACACAAGATTGCAAATCTAGCTGAGCGTTTTGTTCTGTACTATACCATAATATAACCAGGGCTGCGTTTGGAAACTTCATTTGGGTGCACACCAGTATCGTTCTATCTTTGTTACTTACTAAAAATTGAACAAAACAAGGACACAGAACGACGCTGGTGTGTACCCGAGTAAAATTTCCGCAGTCCAGCAGTGGCCGCTCTCGGCACCTTTGATCTCCACGTGGAGGTCCACGTGACCATCCGTCACGTGGACCTTCACTTTAATATTAACCCTTCGCGTGCAACGTCTTTTTCGGCACCTGTAACGTGCAACGTCGGGTCACTCATTTCCGACGCCTAAAAAATACTTTAAAGTGTTCTAAAAAAATCTGAAAAAATTCATGTTACCTTATTAACTATCCTACTTTAAGGATCAATCGCTATATTGCCAATTTTTTCATTTATTTAAACAATATATTTATATAAACAGACACTTGACATATAGGACAGTCACTTTGCCAGGGCACGGGTGACCTGACATTGCACACGAAGGGTTAAAATTCAGGGCTGATTAGAAGAAGTAGTGGTAGTGCTCTATCATAAGTAATAATATAGTCACCCTTTTTCATGAAAAAATAAGTGACTACACTTAACATAACATTGCTTTATTTTATTCGATTTTCAGGGATACTTATAAGTTGGCTGGTCATATGTAAGCATGTATATGTATGGTACGTTCCTGTCGCGTTGTATTTCATTGAATACGAGATCAGAAACAGAACCTGCGCCGCTGTATCTTAGCGACTACGTATTTTTTCGCAGAGTGCCACTACCTACTGGTTATATCGTGGTTCTATTATTATCATTTTTGGTTTCTTTTCTTCTTTGGAATTTTATACATATATTTGCTTCATCTCAAACGTACAAAATATTTAAAAAATTTAGAAGAGTAAATTAAAAATTTTAGATAAAATATGTTGCATCCTCTGCTTCGGATACACATGCCCACTCTCTTCAACAAAAATATTTAAATTAAATTTTGACTTATTTAATTTCCTGATTTTACACAATTTACAATATATTTACTAATGTAATGCTATATTTACTAATGTATAATGCTCACACTCTGATTTCATATTAACTGATATTGTTTACATTATCATGTCACATCTAAACGCCTTACTCTCACTCCATACTTCAAACATCTGAGAGGACACGTATCTAAAAAGCATTTAAAATGCTTCGCTCGCTTATTCAACCGAAAATCAGATGCTGTAATTGCGTTTTAGCGCGAAGGAAAGATAAAGATTGAACAAGACGGAGTATGAGTAAAACGCGACTTGGAAGATACAGCCCCGACCGCGATGATTCTCAAGTCTGCGTCGAGTCGGCACCCGTCCGAACATAACCTCGAAACGCGTCGGGCGATGCACTCCGCCGAGACCTCGCCGCTCGCGGTCACGGGATAATCGGGCGGATCGGGCGGCCCTCGGGGACCGCGGGGAGTCCCGTCGATGATTCTCACGCGGGGAGGAGCGCGAATCGCGCGAGTCGCACGCACCTGGATCGACAGGCAAGCCTGAATCTTGGCGGCCAGCGGCACGCGGTGGCCGGACGAGTCCTCCTTCTCTTCGTCCTCCTGCGTTGCGAACACCGAGGATCTAGGCCCGTCCGCGGAAAGGCACAGTCTGCAGACGTTCTTCACGTTCCCGAAGTCCGAGACGTTCTCCACCATCTCCACCACGTCCTCGTCCATCGTGCTAGGCTACGCTGATCCGGCGCGGGACAACACCACGACCACCAGGACGCCGTCGCCGACACCGACGCTACGTATCCCTCTTGCGATGAGAGCTCTCAGGTTAGGGACGCAAGCGTTTTGTTTGCGGCTAACGAGAAATCGGAAGTGGCCAGACTGTAGACTGTCCAGAGCCGCCAGAATGGCCTGCTCAAGTGCTCACTGATGGAGCCGGGAAAGAGGCGAGGAAGACACTGTTTCCGCGCGTCCAACTTGCCGGTGACGCACCAAGATGGCGCGACCGGACGCTCACGGTGGCGAAGCAAACCCGCGCTTCAGAGTCTCAGAGATGTCCGGTCAGACCCGATGTTGAGAGACACTTTGTTATACCTGCGCGGCAAAAGGAACGCCGGCAAACGTTAGAACGACCCAGTTGCGTACGTAAAAGACTACTATTGTGTGTGAGAACAAGTATCATTAGATTATATATAATTTTAGAAAGAGAATAAGAAAAAAATAATATAATGAGAAATCTCATATGAAATAAAGTTATACAATTTATGGATAGAAATAATTAACAATAATATGTGACACGACACATAAACAGGACACGATGGCTGCGTTCCTTTTGATGCTTTCAGCGCTGTAAGCATTATTCTATCTCCGTTGCACATTGAATATCAAATAGAGATGGAGCGACGCTTTCAGCGCTGAAAGCGTCAAAAGGAACACAGCCGATGTAATATATATGCAATCAATTAGAGAAATTGCCATTTAAAGTCCAAGCTGGATCTTGGTAGTCTAACAACAATATATAATTAACAATATTATTAGTAAACACAAGTCAAATGAAATGAATTGTATGAAATCAGGAAATTAAATAATTCAAAATTTAATTTTTTTGTCGAAAAGTGGACATGTGTATCAGGAATAGAGAGTGCAATATATTTTATCTAAATTTTTTAAATTTACTCTTCTTAATTCTTTTTTTATATTTTGTGCATTTGAGATGGAGCAAATATATATACAAAATTCCAAGAAAAAAAGAGATAAAAGAACAAAATGAAACATATATTATTATTAGGCTACGAAGGTCCAGCCCGGACCTTTAATAGAAATAATTAATAATATTAAGAGAAATATAATTAAATGTATTCTATTGCGTGAGCAACAGACTTACCACAGAAATATCAATACTTTGATAAAAGGTAAAAGAATTTACTGTAGAAGATTTTATTAGTATTTTAAAAAATTCAAATTATATTATGAATATTTTATAAGTAGATATATAAGTATTAATTCAATAAATATTTTGAATAATTTATGGAACACATTACGTGTAATTTTTATGCTTAATATAATATTTAACATATAAATGACAAAAAACGTAAGTAATTTGTGTGGTAACGTAAATAATTTACAAGGAACACTCTAGACAATATCACGAGTCTGTCGAGATCGACCACGTGGTCGATGATTTACGTTACGCATATATCACTCTCCATTCGGAGTGATTTTTCCCTCGATTTCCAGGATTGATTTGATTCGCATGGTCATTTAGACTTTGCCCACAGATCCGAGCTCGACACGCTCTGTTCGTATACATTTATACTTACATATACATACACTTGATGAACGATCAACATTTTAGAAAAAAAAAAAAAAAAAAAACGAGATGCAATGTAATTTAAAAACATGTTCATTTCTACCAACGTAGATTAACTTTAATTTCGGTTTAACTTACTTCTTCTAGTTCTAAGAATTAGAAAAAGATCAAAAGTAAGTTAAACCGAGATTAAAGTTAATCTGCATTGATGGAAATGGACATAAGAGGAATAAGATTTCAAATAAACTCCGATTAACTTAATTGCCAATTAAGATAATCGAAGTTTGATTAAGGCCACTTTGTGAGAACTGTACTGATATGCGTGACAGATGGAACAAGGTAGTGAAAACTGAAGCTTATTTTTTATTTATACATTATTAAATAATCAAATCAAATATTATAAAAATATATTTATGTATATATATATATTAAATTATACATAAATATATCATTTAAAAGAGGAACTCGCGCGTTAATTTAAGTATAACAAATTATCCGATTGCTTTATTTGCATCTCTTGCGTTTTGTTCTTTTTTTTCCCACCTAAAATTGAACGCTTGGAATATATCTCAATGCGTGATTAATTGAGACCAAAAAATAAAAAAATTGTTAGGATCGATATAAATTTATTTTCCTATCAGCGATTCATTTGCGATGGAACTTTTTTGTTATGTTCGAGGAGATTGCAGAAAGAGGTCATTTTTAATAAAAACAACCAATCGATGAATTTTCTTTGTATTTTTAATCTCAAACACAAAATATTTCTATTTTCCATAATAACAGATAACCAACAGATAAAATTCAGCGTTTCTGTTTTTATTCGAGTTTTTACATCAAAACAAATTTTGCTCGCGAGAATTGTAGTGATCAGGATGGGAAATTAATATTAAAAAGGTATACATCGTACATTTGGTCGACTTTTATTTCATATATTTCTTCAATATACATTTGATACACGAAATTGTCATTTGTACACTGCAGGTAAGACAGATTGCTTGTCATACATCAAGATGTAACACACGTGATATATTTCCTTCAATCTTCCGCCGACTCTAAAAATTCTTCATACGGATTTCCGTTTGCTATAAAATTAACGTTCAACGCTTGCGCGCGTCCCCGGTACTTCCCTTAATTCTATCGCAAAATAAGGACTTAGAAAAATCAAGAGTGCTCAAACGGTCCTTCGCAGTAACATCGATAGAGCTTTATTTAAACAGTGTTAAGCTTATTGACTCTTCAACGGACAGCGATCCTCAACTTTGTTTAGAACTTTGACATATAACATATAACGATCGATAAATTTCTTTGATTCCTACGTTACGTTGCGGATAACCATTCTCCCCTCGGTTAAGTGGCATCAGTATCTCTTTCTCTAATATTACATAAATATCAGTTTGTCGATTACAAAACATGCTCACGATCACGAATTCACAGATTTCTACAGACTGCCAACAGTGTCACGGTTAGTCACGAGTCGGTCCGAGGCAAACGGCATCCGACGAAGTATCATTGGTAGTAAACACCGTCTACTCTAAAAAAAGATTTCGCGGTTTGGTGATGACGGTGACGACGTTTTTGGACTCGTTAAAAATGACCGCTACCCTCCTTTCGTTTGCCTCATTTTCGTCTTTCAAAACTAGCAGTTTGTTTGGCGATGTTTATAGACGTGACGTTCTCTCGGCTGAAAAGAAGAAGAAAGAAAACAGGGCAAAAAGAGAGGAAGGCCTAAAAAGCAAGGGATTTTAGGAAAACCTGAGCGCGTTTGCACGTCACTCCGTTCGACAAAGACCGCGAATCGTTTTCACGTTCTTCCTACGAGATGTAGCTTCTCTCTCCCTTTTTCTCCTTCCCACTCTCTCTCTCTCTCTCTCTCTTTCTTTCTCTCTCTCTTTCTTTCTCTCTCTTTCGACACGCACTACTTCGCAACTTGGTACGTCGACCGAGCTTGCATTGACATTTTATTCGCTCACGCAGGACGCAGGCACCACGAGAGAAATGCAAACGCGCCGAGCTATAACTCGTAACAAGCATATTGTATGCAAATCGAAGATTATTCGCGCTCCTTTGTTGCGAACAGCGAGCGCTAATGGAGCACAACGTAACGAACGATTACGGAATCGGTGTACGACAATTGACGTTACAACTTATGCTCAACGATCGTAATAATCGCTCCGGACGCTTAATAATACATATATATGTATAGGTATATGTACGCGGATGTGGCGTACGCGAAATTAGAACCATCAAGCTAAAGCCTTACCTACGGGGATATCCTGCGTGTGAAACTCTCTCTATCCTCTTAGAACTATTCACATTAATATAAACCGTGTGCGAGTAATCATTGACACATGTTTGCCTATAACGTTTAACAACAACTCCGCGTTTCCCCTGACGCTATGTCGAAAAAAAAATTCAGCTCTCTGACCCTGATTATTCTAAGAGCGCAAAGCCATTTCGATCGTAGGTACTCGTCGATCTTTCGATATCGCGGTTTGCGTTAACATTTACGGCTCCCCGTTGAACGAAATAATGCCTCGCGTTTCCCGAAAATATATTGACCGCTCTCTCCGCCACCGCGGTTCCGATTCTGATTCACCCGACGAATCTGGATCGATCTGCCTGCGTTGTGGCTTATTCGCAAAGTCTATGAATCGAGTATAAAATGTATATATACCGTCCCGCGACGAATGTTACACCGATGTTCTCTCCCGCGGAAATCAAATGAATGCCTGGCTCACGATATGGCAATTTCGCGCCGGATCTCCTCGCGACCAATGCGCGGTTCCAGTTCGCGTATCCTCTTAATTTAACGTAAAAAAAAAAGGGAAAGCAGTTCAGATTGTCAGGCAGCTAGAGTTGAAGCAGGAGCTTTGCTGCGACTGCTGACGCACGTAGTCCTGAACGTTGAATTTCGCCCCATCAGGGTTGTCGCTTTTTCTAGCCTTCAACTCTCTGAAATCAATCGGTGTCGTTTAGTTCTATCGATTTATCGTGCTGTTCTTCCTTTCAAAAATATACAACGAACTTTGCAAAAACTCGATTAACTTTTATTTTAAGCTCATTTTTATCTGTTTTTAAAAAGACTTTCCCTCCTTTCGGAGGGACAGTTAAACTAAGATTGGAGTTAATCAAGCGTTAACGTGAAATCAACTAAAAATCAGTGCAGTTTCAAGCATCGTTCGTTCACACTATTCTACTTTCGTCGATTTTATCGAAACCGTACCGTGCAACGGCGAGAAACGCCAATTCGACATTGAGGCCAGTCTTGGCAGACGTTTCCATGAACGGCACTTTGTACTCCTGCGCTAATCGCTCGCCGTTTTCTCGCTTAACGGCACGGTCCGTTCCGCAGTCGGACTTGTTACCTGCAGTTTGATACAGCGACGAGAAAATAAATTATCACAAAATATCCAACTTTTCCAGCTTTTCCGATGCTAAAATAGTGTTCTCGGTTGATGCGATCTGGACTGCCCGCGAGCAATTAAGGTCAATTTGCGTGAGCCGATAGTCCATACGATGTACATTCGGATCGAAATAGGATTTCAAATTAAAAGCTAAAAATTACACGTAAAATTGCGGACGGTCGAAAATATTCATATTTCTCTTACACTCATATCAAACGCTTTTTCTAGTCGAACGTGGATTCGCGAAGATTTGTCTTAATTGCTCTCCAAAGCGGGCCAAATTGCATTAAGCGGAAACGCTGCGAGTTGAATTTTATCTTTCCCGGAACCTGGATTTTGTTGGTTCTCAATCTCTTATTTAAATATTTAAATCGGATTCGATAGCTGGATGTATATCAACTTCGGACGCAATCTGACCGATGCTGCTGAAATCAAATTTATGTAGGTCGTCCAGATAGCTCTCCCGAGCTCTTATCTCCGCTAAACCATTATCATGACCGTTATTTCTTTTATCCTGCCGAAGATCGAAATCCCCATTTAAACGTGAGGATCCCAAGTGGGCAGAGATCTATCGTATCGGTACGGAAACCATAAATATAAACGCGACTCACCCAGCAGCATGATGACGACATCCTCGCTCGCGTGTTCCCGGATTTCGCTCAGCCAAGCCCTGACGTTGTCGTAACTCGTCTTATTCGTCACGTCGTACAGCAGCAAAAGCGCTGGAACACGCCAGTCGTGTGAATTGCTTCTTTTTCATTGACTACTTAATCGACTTTACGTCACGCGACGGTCAGAAGCTTTTTACGACGTATGTAAATGCATCCGTTTATACGTGTATGTCTTATACATTTGAAAGTTTAATACATTAAATGATAATCGAATTCAGAACAAAAGCGCAAAAATATTATAATCTGTGAATACATGATTTTCTCTCACTTTTGGACATTATTCGGGAACGAGTCTTATTATGTTATACTTAAATCTTTAGCTTGTATAATTTAAAATGCTTCGCGAATTATAAAGTCAATTTTCACTTTTGCCTTAAACGCCTCAATTCTATAATGCGATCTCAATAGTCGCTATTTAATCTTCTAGATGGTTGACGCGTCTAATTATTGCGTCGAATTCACTCGACCGGAATGATTACTTCTGAAGTTGAGATGCAACGCAGTATTATTGTCGCAACAACTTTAGAACTGTCAGACGGATAAACAATGAGGTTCCCCCCTCAGACAATCTCCCCGTACTTCTTCCTCCGTATCTATATACGCGAATCGAGTTTGGCACCTGGCCAGAACTGGCGGAGCAACAAAATCGGGAACAACGGCTAGGGCTCGGGTTATTAGGAAGTTACGAATGGTTCATGCATTGTAAAGTCGAGTTCGCCGCGAGTGATGACGGTAACGTTTCAAATTGATCATCTCAAGCCTGGAAACGAACCGACATTTCGAATTCGAATGTGGATAACCAAGTCGAGCAATTAAGATTTTCCCGGAGGCGCACCAATGTAACGCTGCCATTCTATGCTACTCGGAAAGTTCGTTACATGCACAAGAAGTCTCAAATTCCCATTCCCAAAACCAATTTGGTATAGATGAGTCCTTGAGAAAGACAGAAAAGAGAAGGACTAAACTCGAGTTCTACAGCAAAAGTTAGTTTAAAATTACCTATATTTATTTTTACACGTGCTTTTCATACACACATCTGACATTTCAAAATCAATTATAATATTTTAATTAATTATATATAAATATAATTAACAATATTTAAATTGTTGAAAATTTATTAGAAAAAATATATTGAACCAAATCACCATTTTTTAATTACGGAAAAGTCGATTTTAATTCGATCATCGGATTCGCAAATTAAGAACAATTAAGAGGAGAGAATCTGGAATACTTTGCGCAAGGCAATTGCCAAACAATAATCGTTATAAAATGCGCGTTTCGTAATTGCCGTAAGAGCAACTCTCCCAGAATAAACCAAGCATGCATTAAATACCCGACGCTCGAAAGCGCGTTATCTCTCGCCGGGAGATATATTTCTCATTATTTTCCGCTGTGTAAAACGCGGAACCAGTAAAATGTATGCACGGCTTTGAGATTGTAGCGGCGTTTGCAATGCGAGAATAAAATAATTACGAGATATTGCACAACGTGTGGAGAATCATCACCAACAATCTCGTATTTATCGATAGCACGATGCTACTGTGTTAAACACGTTTTTATCAAGAATGTCGTCACGTCGCGATTATCCTAGTGTGTTAAATTAATTGCGATATATATATGTATACCTACATATAATTTCAAAATGTAATATATCGTATGATTTATCGTGCGGTTTGCATAATACTAGCGATAAAATGAATATTTAAAATTAAAAAAAAATTAATATTAATTTTCCGTTAACTTTTGCTAATTTCAATTTCGATCCATTTGTTAATTTGTACTAGGCGAATATTCCGCGCCTTATTGAATCAAGGCAGATTTGTGACGTGAAAGAAAAGAGTTTACCGTGTGCGTCTCGGTAGTAAGCGTGCGTCACGCTTCGGAACCTTTCCTGGCCGGCTGTGTCCCATATCTGCAGCTTGATCGGCGTGTCGTCGACGGTGACAACTTTGTTCTGTAAAGATAGGAAAGACATTTCTATTGTATTTGTGTATTTTACTTAAATTTTTGTAACATCCCACGAAGGCCAAGTCTTATAAATCATGAAGGTACCGTCGTCCAATGTGAGCAACATACACTTCGTTGTTAGAGAATCATTAATGGAAAGTTCATCGGCACGAGAGCATTCTCTGTTAATCGCGTATGCACTGTTAAATTCGTAGTGTCAAATTATATTCAATTCGAGTCATTTTTAATCATTCTTATAGATCGCTACTTCTCCTACTAAAAAAATATATCGTTAATTTAACTACAACAATGTAAATTTAACAAAATCAATAAAGTTAAAATAATACTGTTTTATATGTTAAAATAATAAATTTCGACACACATGGTAGTTGAAAATAACAAAATGTTATTATGAACTCAAGGTATTGGTTTAAATTTCATCCTTTAATATTTAATACTTAACAGTGAATAAATACAAGATGGTAACCCTAAAGTCTCACCCTAAAGTCAATGCCGACGGTCGTTATGTAGTTTGCCGCGAGGAAGCTGCCGTTGCGGAAACGCGTCATAAGACAGGTTTTCCCAACGCCGCTGTCACCGAGTAACATCACCTGCATCGAGCAACGATTGTTCAAATAATCGTTTCATTCTTATTCCAGCTCGCTCATCTGTTCGCGTAATTTTCAAATCTTAATTCCGACCGAACTAATTCGACATCAGAAGAGATAAAAAAAGAAAGCGAGGTAATATGGCCTACTAACCAAATTTAAAAATACGCCACAGTTTCCAAAAAGGGAGTAAGATACATTAAAATTAAAATAAAATAAACAAAAGAAAATTAATAAGATTACAAAAAGCGATCACGTTCGAGGGATTGGTCGCGCTCGGCGAGCGAGAGAAACAAGAGAGAACAACGAAATGCTGGCGTATCGTCGCGTGAGATGAGCGAGCGCGCGAGAAAGCGGGTATCAGGGGGCAAGGTAGGACCTTGAAGAAAAGCTCCGTGTGATCAGGTGGGGTGTGCTGGCTGGCGGAATCGACGCTATCGCGCGAGGACTGGCGTGTGGTCGGGCCCGTGATATCCTGGGGCCAGGTGAAGGCGGTGTACGTGGGCCAGTTGAAGGCGGTGGACGTGGGCCAGGCCGGCGCAGCGACAGGGTTCGGCTGGGCCCGGCCCCGTGCGGCCGGCGCGGACCAATCGGCGCCGATCGAGCCGCCGCGGCCGCTGCGCCTCGACACGTTGCGTAATGTTTCCTCCACGGCGCTCATGGGCCCCTGCTACCGGGAGCACCAATTTGCTCTTCTTCTTCTCGGCCACTCCTCGTCGTCTCGTTGCGCCTCAGCGTCGTCGTGCTCGTGCTTGCACCCGTGCTCGTACTCGTCGTCGTCGTCGTTGTCGTCGTCGTCCTCCTACTCCTTCTGCTTCTCCTTAGGACACGCCGAGGTCACTAAACCTCTCCTCGGACTCGCGAGCGCCCACTCGATTCGTTTCGCTCGTTCGCTCGTATGTGTTACGTATGTACGTACGCCGCCGTACGTGCGTACGTGCGTGCGTGAATGCGTACGTGCGTGTCTGCTTCCTCTTCTCGCGTTTCTCCTTCTGCCCGGAGTCTCCTCTCCCTTCTCGCGTCGCACCGCTCCGCGTCCCAAGCGGTTCTCCTCTTTGGGTTTACGGCGGCGAGAGCCTCGACGTGCCGACGAGGTACGGGACAGGCGATCGAGTGAAAGTACGGTCCGCCGTTCGAATCGTGCAAATGCGATCTGGCACTTTCGAGGAGTCCTTACTTTAGCGGGAACGAAGCGCCCGCGTCGTGCCGGCGCGATCGAGTGAACACGGGGAAAATTCCGCGGAACCGTCCAGCTGCACGATGAGTCACGGAATGCAATCACCTAAATTGGTGCAAATTTCCAGGATAATTCTCCATTATATACATATACATTATATACATATATTGGCATTAATATTTCTGCTATAACCAAAATAGAGAAATGTAACGTTATGTTATCAAGAGCGAAAATTTTGAGAAACATTTTTTATCGCGCTTGATGTTGTCCGTGCGCTTTGGACACGCAATCAAATATTGTTAAAATAACATAAAAAGCCCGGTTACACATTGCGATGGAGCACGCGTTTGTTCAACGTGCAACGTGAAGCGATCGCTAATCGGAGTAAGATTGGAAAATTTTTGCGCTGTAAAATTGCTCTGTCACCGTGAATAGCCGCGCGGCGCTTGAATGGAGGCCGGCCGGCCTATCGGCTTTACATTGCGATTTCGCGAATATTGAACGGAAATCCAGTCGATGAGTGCAAAAGGAAAAGTATTCTCTTTGATCTCTGACGCGTTAACCATGTGAAGCCGAGCCTGGTTATTGAAATATCCCGACATTTGACGAACTGGAGTATAATTCGCAGCGTCAGGCGCCGTCGGTGGACAGCAATTTGCACACGCAGCGAGCGACGGATTGAACTGTCCGGAGTGCGTCACGACCAGTTACGTAAACGTAAGCGCGAGGCGGCTTTAATGAAACACAGGAATGTCAGTCACAGTCGCGTGCAACGAGCTTCACAGGAGATCGAGATCGATCGTGACGCGATTAATCCATTCGGAGGAGCGCAGCACCTGACGAATTTCGTTCGCGTTGAGTGTGTATAAAAATGTGCGAGATTATCGCGTCGTAAACGACGTCAGCTTCGACATAGATTTCGCGAAGGATTAAATCTTCGTCAGAGACTTAATCCCTCGTACAGCTGACGTCTTTCGCCGTGTTACAGCAAAGCTAGATCGAAACAATTACAGGCCCGTCGCGTTGTATTAAAGCGCCTGGCCGCGATAACGAATTGCCTCGCGCGTAAATCGAGAGCGGAAACGGTCTTTGTTTCTCGAAGGAAACATCACTAATGGATACTCGGCGGCCTATAGCTGGTTTCTTTTACGTTCTCGTAAATTACTGACATCCGATAATAATGGATACGCGTGTCGCGTCGTAGCGCAGGAAGGAAAATGCTGGTATCATACTCCGAAATACACTTCGCGTTTTCTATCGCCCTCGTAAAAAAAAAAAACCCGAGTGGTAAAACTCATCGGCCGCTGTGAATCGTCTCCGGTTCGGGCCATCTCTCGCGAATCGATATATCGGCGATCGTTTTACACCATAACGCATCAAAAATTCTCTCCGCCGAAAAAAGATCTTCAGAGCCTAAAATAATACCGATATTCGCCGTCGAATTTTCAGGTATCGATAATTTTCCAGCTTTTATTATATCGCGCGATACAATACCGTCCTGCGTACTCTCGTCTCTAGTTTTTTTTATTTATTTATCGGTATTCGTTTTCGCGGTAGTAAAATGCACCTTTCGCCGACGCTCGCGTCGCTCCGGCAACGACAGGAAGTGAAAGCTTTCGTTTTCCCGTTGCAAACGGGAGTAACGTATATCCGGCGGGAATAAAGCGCGCTCTTTAACTTCAGGTGAAGTGCAAGCGCATATAAGATGCTGAAAACGTGCGAATGCATGCAACTTGCGGAAGACGCGATTCCGTCACGCGATTTAGCTCTAGCCGATAATTTCAATGCATTACATACATCCCATCGCTGTTTTTCCGTCTGTTTACCGAACGACGCTTATCGAGCTGGACTCTCGCCAGGCGCTAAAACTCACACCTGACCGCCCGATCATTTCCGGCTTCATTGGGCACGAAATAGCGCGCGGGCGATGGCAATCGACGTTCGCTCGATGTGTGACTGCGACACGTGGCGAATTCGTGGTCGTGCAATCGCGGAAAAAAGACCGCCGTCGATTCGACGATTGCATTCGGTGGCCAGAATGCCTGATTCGTCCATTTGCAACGCTCGTTTTGAGGGGAAACTAGAAGCTCTGGCTTGAATAATTTAACGCGCGAACGCGCCGCGCGTATTCAAATAATGTATAATACAAGATATATCGTGCGGATAAACGCGAAAATATTCGCGAAAAATATTCCCAATAATTAACGATTTACTCATTCACGGTTATACGAATACAGAACAAAATCTTCATATACGCGGGACCCAATGTTACTCTTTGGATTAGTGCAAGCAAGTTCATTACTTTTCGCGAGAAGTTCAAGGACAATTTTCCGAAAGAATTTTCCGGAGTTAGAGTTACCGAAGGTAGAGAAGTTGAGCGCAACGCGACCCGAGTCTCGTATAGAAATTCCTTTGTCGTCAGCATTGGTTGCGTCGCAAAAACCGGATCATGGTTCAGATTCGAGGCCGGCAGGCCCAGCCTACTATACCGCTTTGGGCCCACCCACGCTGCGACCGAGACCGAAAAGGCTCGTACCGTGAACCCGGTTACCCGACTGGTGGCGCCCTTTTACAGCATTCCTCGGAGAGGAAACGGGACGCCACGTCCCACGACCCACGCGAACGCGCGTCACGATCACCAAGCGCGATTAATTAATTAACTATGTCGGCGCGGTTCAGCGGCGTGATTAATCGAGCCACTGAACGAATTGTCCGTGCACACCGTCGGTTAGTGACACCATCTTCTCGCGTGACCCTCTCGTGACTCTAAATTGCGTCAAGGAAAGTCACGCGCCGGTGACTCGCTTCTCCCTTCTCCCATACCGCCCATGCGATTCTTCGACTTTCCCGACTCCGATGGTAACATTCTAGCGTCACTTAATTAACACGCATAACACTTAATTAACACACATCGGGCAATTATATATGCTTTGAAATAGTTTACATTAGAAAATTCATTAATTATTATTATTGTTGTATTATAATAATAAATGCGTTATTGTATTAGCGTATAAGAAATAAAATGTTTAAAACATTATATATTAAATTTTATATATTACGTATATAATATAGTCATACAAATATAGATTTTTTAAATAAATATATAAAATATATGTTATATGTTTTTGATAAGAGATTATTAAATCATTGTCATGTATTTTATATATTTAAAAAGTGTATATTGATATACCTACATTAATATATTTCATGTATTTTAATGTATACCTATATTATAGTATCAAAAAGATACATTTTTTCGTATTTCTTCTTTAAATATCAAAATTAAAACTTTTACTTTTTAAAAATCGATACTGATTAGATAATACACCGGTCTTTTTTAATGATATATCGCGATAGATACATTGCTGTGAGATACATTGCGAGCATGTGTGATGTATTCTAAACCACGTAGTTGAAAGGTTAAGAATTCACGTATAGACTAATGTGTGATGTAACTGGATATCTTTATGTAAGCGGCGCGCAGCCAGGTAAAGAAAGGATGTTGAACCCGATGGACTGATTTCAGTTGCGATCGCGGCAGTCCACGTGGGGCTCCCGACACGTGCCGACGTGCTCGACGTAACAAGAACACGAATGTTCGCAACGAGGCGTGAAGAGAAGAATCGACTCGTATACACTCCGAGAATATTGAAGATAATCCAGTAAAAAAAAAAAAATAAATAAATTTTAAACCTATAATAATTCGATCAAGATCTCTCGCGGTTAATTTGTCACACCATTTAATTGTCACGCCGATTAACGAGTAAGTATAACAAATAAAAAATGATTACGCTTTCGCGCGATTTCGCGTGCAATTCCATAGTCTCTGTCCATAAATCCAAAGACGTGGCCTCGCGTGAACGAAAAACGCGAAACACGAATTCGCATCAGCCTTGACTCACGACCCAATGACAGTAGATAAGATAAGGTAAACATCATCACTACGGAGTGGTAAAGAGCTTATATTCACGTTTACACCTACATCCTAAAAATTCACGAAAATATCTCTTATGCAGCGATTTTATACTTCGATAAGAGCGACGGAGTTAACTACACGAAAAAGGCGACTCGTTATAACGAAAGAACTTTTTTCCGTCATTCCCTTTGATCTCGCGACTTTTCCATTGAACCGAGATGTTAGATAACGTTTATCGCGCCCGCTTCTGGTCACGGTATCGATAACGTTCTACTCGGCACAGTATGCTGACTTGCCGGAAAGCTGCTTTATCAAAGTCGGTAGCCGCCTACAACGTCTGCAAGTTGATGCACCGACCGTATTTATCTCCGCGAAAAAGTGTCGCCCTTCATTTTTCTCCCGCGCGGCTGACGGCCAACGACCGTCCGACAAAGCGCACTCATTAAGTCGACGCAGCGGCCATTATGAGAATTAATCACGCCCTTTCGGAGGGTGCCATTGAACATTACGGACGCATCGACCGTACAGTTGGAAGGCAACTACCGGCATAAAATATAAGCTGATGTTGGCTGCTTCCGGCCTCGGCCCTGGAGAAGAGGAAGAAGGAGAGCGCGAAGTTTAAGGTCGACTTACGAAAGGTCAGCTCGCGAAGACATCGCCGTTAGCACGGTAGCCGTTACGAACGACGCTAATTAGCAGAACGATGCTAATTAACGTGTTGATTACGCCGATTTACTCTTGGCATTTTTCTTCATTTATTGCTTTCTTTAGTCCACTCCGCAGTTTCCTCTATTTCAACTTATTGTTTTAGACTGTTCTTTCTTGAAATAATCCTTAATTAGGAAAATTCTATACGCCAGAACTTTCGATAATCGAGGTGCAGCGTGTTGGAAAATATTTATTTATGTGAATACATTCTTGAAATATGCTTTCTGCATAAATAATACGCTGGAATTATAATACACATCAATAATGTAATATAGAATAAAAAAAACGTTAAGCAGCATTCTTTTCTTTCAAAACCGTTATAAAATAATGTTAATTAATTTCATGCTCAGAGTAACTATGACAATTCTCAAATTCACTGACTTCAACGAAACCATCGGATTCGTCAAAACCTCGAGTAAACGATTAAAGTATCATCATCGCATGAAATTCTCGAACAAGAAAGAGAGAGAGAGAGAGAGAG